GCTAACTGACCATGCTAAATGGTCGTGCGACCTTTTAGTGTAGTGGTTAGCGTTGGTGACCGCCAAGCGGACAACTCGGGTTCGATTCCCGGTTGTGACCTGCTCGCCCCTTTCGGTTTTTACAGTGGCGCCCAACGTGGGGCTCGAACCCACGACCCTGGGATTAAGAGTCCCATGCTCTACCGACTGAGCTCCTGACTTGATTTGGATTAAACTATTTCTTAACGGTTTACTATTATGGTTTGGTCACTGTCTAGTATAACGTTACGTACTTGCTTACCTGTTTTTGTTGTTGTTGAAGTCCTCATTTAACGTCTATTTTTCCCGCTAGAGGTAGTCTCAAAGTGCTTTATACCTTCCGCGTTCACAACATACTGGGACATACTGCCGCCATTTTGGGTCAAATTCAGCTCCCCGTAGGTCATGTAGGTCGAAGTCCCATCACGCACCGCGCGTCAGCCCCGCTTTAGCTCTACGCCGATATGTATCGCTAAGTAGAGGACTCCAGAGCCTCAGAGCACACTCTACACCCGATAGTATCGGCTAAGTTTTTCCCGTTTTTAACGATACCTATCACTAAGTACAACAGAATCCGGTGCATACCATTTTGGGCCATAATAGGATGCCTAGGCCTGTTTTTATTTTTATTTTTTTTCGCCCGCCCGCTCCATTATTTTTCTAGAAAAATCCGTTAACCAAGAAATTAAATTGGTGTGGCCTTAGGGAAGATTTACATGTTAACGATTTAATAATCATTGAACGGAACAAACGCGACCCTGACGACATCAATGAACGGTCCCTCGTGACAACCGCACGTCCCATGGCCAATGTCATCTTCGCTTGACTCGCCGGTTCATTTTGCTTTCCACTTTTATGACATCTCCCCTACATGAGCTCGAGCAAACCTACGCCCCAGCCCCTTACCCTAAAAGTAACGTCCCGGCGTTACCAACAGAGGCATGACTCCCGGATGTTTCGGTATTTGCCGGCGGTTTGGGGGTCCTGCCTGCTGCCATTGCGGAGAGAAAGCCCTGTGACTAATATCCAGACCTGGCTTACGCCCCAGTTCCGCGCTTCCCAAACTATGACCTCAACTCATGCACTAACCATCTACCTACAGCTGTTTCTTAATTACATTACAAATTTTGAGCAATCGTAGCAAACAAGTGACAAGAACTGTCAGTGCTAACCTTCGTTTGATTGACAGATGAATTGTACGACAAAGCAATGACACCATTGAGGTCGTTTCTGTTACACGAAGTAAGAATACAGATAACACCCCCACACATTGTAATAGTATAGCCCATGCGGCCAAGTAACGCTGAGACCAGAGACTCGATCTCTTTACCATCTGGACGGCATTGAGCACTGCACCTACTAACCTTAGACGTAGAATAAACAACTGGAAATGCACTGAATCTGTGGTGATTCCTGACGTGCAAAAGCAACATGGTGTCAAGAAGTGGCCTTCAGCAAGTTCAGGAGAACTGAGAAAGGCAAAACGGACCCGAAAAGGAGGAGAAGACAGAAGAAGACAGAAGAAGACGAAAGCAAACGGTCTCAAGTCAAGACCGAAGGACAGAGAGAGCCAAAGTCTTCAAAGGAGACAGCTAAGTCTAATGTCTTATGTCTTTCTTCCAAGATAGCATCCAGAGCATGCTAGTCTAAAGAACTCCAGAGAACTTGTGAAGAATTGTGAAGAATTTCCATTGAGAACTTGTGAAGAATTTCCTGACAGTTTGAGTCAAGCACATGCGTAGGCATAAGGGCTGTATTGTTTTAGCGTGTCCCAGGAAATAGGACACATTCCTTAGCGTCTGGTTGCTTTCCAAATAAAACTCACGTAGAATCTCGCGCTGGCGAAGTCTCGCGAGCGCGCACGAAAACGAGGCGATTGGTGACTCCCGGGTATGGCGTCTGCTGCAATGGGTGACGCTAGTTTTTCGTCTTCCGCGGTAAGTTTCGACCGTTATTTGCATGAACAAAGCCAAAAATTCCCAAGAAACATTTTGAGGACATCCTAGTGGCACGATGGGTATCGATTCTTCCTGACCCGCGGCGATAATTACGCGGTTTTAGACCGATTTGTTATGGGGTGACGCGGGTTGAAGGGCATGCGCACAAGTTGCTGGGTGAGAGACCTCAAAATTAAAATGAGCTAAAGAACTTTAAAACCCTTTCTTGGGTGGGATTTTTGTTGAATTCTTGGCATTTTTGTGGTGGGTTGTACAGTGTAGGGTTTTGAGTGAATGTTTTTGCAAAAAAAATGAAGTTTTTCCATGAAATTGCCTTGTTATGGGCTTGTCTGTTGCCATACACCCCTCCTGGCTCCTGCCTTGGTATCGACCTAGAATATGGGGTCAAAGTGCACGAATTCTTATAAACAAGGCTCTACCTCGAGAATAGCCGACCACTTTTTTCCGAAACTTGTTGTAGGTACATATTATTAAATTGGCCAACACGTGAAGGTGAGTTTGTGTGACAAAAACTTCGTAAACTAGAGATATGATGCCCATTTTCATGTCTGATTTAGCATATGTTTCAATGGAGAACCCTTTCAGTGATGTCTCCCCTTATCGGCGACGATAAGGGGGAGGGGGGCAGCACATGTATAGTGTATACATGATGCATGTTTTGATACGTCCCGCGCGGCCGTGCGGGCTTTTCCCGTCAAATATCCGCGGGTTTACCCGGCGGTTCTTCCCATGAACGTTACTAAAACAATATTTTGGTGCTCTCATGTAAATTTTTTTTCCATGTTTCCACAATGTTTGGTGATTTAATCCAAGTATAGGTCCTATGTTGTAGATACTTGTATGCTGCATACGTATGTGCAAGGCTAGTGTGACGGCGAGTGTGTGAAAGGTTTTGACGGTTTTTGACCAAATGTTACCTTTGGATATTGTTGTAACTCTTTTTTTTTCTTTTTACAGTCAGATTGTGCCAATGGCACGAAAAAGAAGAAGAACCGATTCAAGAGAGGAAAAAATTGTGCAGCATTTGATTGTAACAACACATGCTATGTTGTGATTGATGGTAAAGAAGTATTGAGCAAAATCACAATGTTTAGTGTTCCTAAAAAGGTTCTGAAGGACCCCAAATTAATAAATAGGTGGTGTACCTTGATTAAGAGACGGCATAACTGTGATGGTTTCAGAATGAATACAAATACAGTCATTTGCGAAAAACACTTTCGAGAAGCTGATGTGGCCAGAAAATCCAACCATGGATTAACATTACAGAAACCAAGGCTGAAAGAAGGTGGGTGAATTGTTTTCTTTGGTGTGAATGTTTTTTAGTGTATGATTACTATGAAAGGTGGCATTTTGTTCAGTCTACATCAAATTATATTTCTTATACATGTATGCTACATCTAATTTTTTCCCAATGTCTGATCTGACTGAAATACAGGTGCAGAACCGGTGTTACATGAATGGAACAAGCCCAAACCAAGGCGAGCATCCCCAAAGAAGCGAGCATCCCCAAAGAAGAGGTGTATTGTACAAACCACACAGGCAAGAAAGGACATGGAAGTAAGTCCCATTGTTTACAAAAATATTATTTTTGTGCACATTTCAAATATTTCTCAAATTTGAAATCATTTTCTAGTTTAGATTGTTTCAGATAGTGTGCTTTACTGGTGCTTTGTTAATAGGACTACACCTTTTCAGTCAACACTGAACGAGACGAGTCCTTCGACAATGGAAGCTGCTATGGAGCCAACACCAGCCACACAGATGTGCGAGACTTCTATAGAAACACCAACAGTATCTGAGCAGACAAACTTGTCACCAGTATCTGTACAGACCCGTAGCACATTTGTTTCTGTTGGGACTCAAACCTCTGTTGATGAAGCACCTGTACACATGTCAGACCATGACTACACATTTGGTATAAATGACTCCCACTGTATAGAATCACTCAACGAGTACATTTCCATGTTGGAAGCTAAGCTTCAAAATTGTACACAAGAATGTAGAAAGCTGAAGAAAATTGTACAGGATTTGTCTGATGAAGTTACTGAGTTTGAAAGAAAAAGTTTTTCTATTTTTTCACTCAAGGATGATGATGCAGCTGTCAGATTTTATACTGGCATGCCAAATTTCACAAGCTTTATGGCACTTTTTGAGTACTTGGAGCCAAAAGCTATGAAACTGCAATATTGGCGAGGAACGGGCAATGGCTCTAATAATAAGGCTTATCAAAGACCAGGAAGAAGGAAGCCAGGACCAATAAGGAAGTGTAATTTGTTGGATGAGTTTTTCCTGGTCATGGTTAGGTTAAAGGTAGGGCTGTTCACAAAGGACCTTGCAATAAGATTCGGAATATCTGAGAGCACTGTTTCACGTGTTTTTACAACTTGGATAAACTTCCTGTCTCATGAAATTCCTTTACTGTTCCCCACTCCTTCACAAGCCCGTGTTAGGCATTTCATGCCTCCACAGTTCAAGTACCCAACAACAAGGATTATATTGGACTGTACTGAGATTTTTGTGCAGGTTCCCTCTGCAATGAAAGCACAGTCTGAGACATGGTCAAATTACAAACACCATAATACTTGGAAGGTATTGGTGGGGGTAAGTCCTAATGGGCAGGTGACATTTGTGTCTGAATTGTGGGGCGGAAGAGTGACAGACAAAAAATTACTTTAGCATCAGGTGTGTTTGACTTTCTGGAACCGGGGGACAATGTAATGGCAGACAGAGGCTTTGAAATTCAAGACATTCTTCCCCCTGGTGTAGATTTAAATATACCACCTTTCAAAGGTAGCAGGGATGCACTTACTGCCGAAGAAGTGCAGGAGACAATGGACATTGCTGAAGTAAGAATACATGTAGAACGTGCAATCGGTAGAATCAAGAACTATCACATATTGGATGGAATTATGCCTCTATCACTAGCACCTGTTGCAGAGCAAATTTTTCGGGTATGTTCTTATCTGACAAATTTCCAGAATCCACTTGTAGAAGGAAAGCACATTGTTTCACCACATCTCTTGGAAGTAGAAGAGGTACATGAGGTTTAATATACATATTTTACATTATTGTGTTGCATTGTGTATATGCAGATATGGAGGTTTACTGTACATGTATTTACATTTTTGTATATACAGGCATGAGGTCTGATGTACATGTATTTACATTTTTGTATATACAGATATGGAGGTTTAATGTACATGTATTTACATTTTTGTATATACAGGCATGGAGGTCTGATGTACATGTATTTACATTTTTGTATATACAGATATGGAGGTTTAATGTACATGTATTTAAATTATGTGTATATACAGACATGGAGGTTTAATTTACATGTATTTACATTGGTGTACAGACCTATAAATTCCATGTGCACACAGTTCTTTGTAGGATCTGTTCATCTAAGTTCACAATAAGGTGTGTAGTAATGATACATACATTTTGGTGTCAACATGACTAATTTACCTATTACTATTAGACTGGTATATGGAAAATCTGTAACCTAGTAAAGGAGATACTGAAATATAAATGATGAAATTACTCCTTGTATGGTTTCCACCCCCCTTTCTCGTAGAGTGTAACCCCCCTCCGCACTCTCCTAGTTACAAGTTCTGGTAATATGGCCATCTTGTAGAAGTAGTCTAACCGTGGAAGGTTCCTCGTCTGCCAAGCATTGTCGACATATATCCGTTCGATAAACAGATCCTGGTCGTTACCAAGGTACACTACAAAGTCGACCCATGCCAAGTCTGTGGGTCACTGGCCCGCTTTGTCTTGACGTATTTCTCCACCGCCACCTCCTCATTCTTGTTCCCAAATGCTGTAGCTGCTGTTGTGAAGTTGGAATAGAGCATAGAATGAAGTTTCTTTGATGGCTCCACCCGACATGTAATAGCTGGTCCAAAGTTTGAGGCTGTGAGTTTCTCCTTTCTACTTTCCATCCATGTGCTACTTGTGGACTGTCCTCGGGTTTTCTGCTCTATAGTGTTTCTTTGTTCTTCTGAGATGTTCATACTCGTCATTCTGTGGTGTATCATCTGCTGGAACTGTTCTGAGGCTATGTCGTATGTGTCACTGAAGGGTTGTGGAGGTTCGTGGGTTTCCGGAGTGTTGTCTTCAATGTTGTCGTGGAAAAGGTGAAACATGGAGTTGGGAAGAGAGTTTCTGAGTGTGTCTTGTAGAGTACTGAGTTTGGCGGGGTCAAGATGTCTTTGATGCTCGGCTCGGGGGTCGTACTGTGAGGAGGTGGCTGTTCTTGGTATCTTCCCATAACGGATCTTGTGAATGTGTATCCTCCGAAGGGGTTGTGGCTCGACCTGTTGGGTGACAAAATAAACACATAAAAAGCTATTGTAATATAATGCACAAAATTTTTTAAGTACACAAGGTAGTCATTTGAATTTAATCTGTTTTCATATGGTACAAGCATGATGTGTGACATATAACTCGAAGTAGGTCACTGGTGACAAAGTAGGTCAACATACAAGTTTAAATACAGGCAGAAAAACAACAGCAATGCCCTCTGGATAAATGTACCCTGTGGACATACAACTGATGAAGAATGCCCACCTTGTCATTACGAGGCACATTCCAAATGGAGAGTCTCGCTGTGCATGCTAGCGGGGTTGGGTGGTTCTTCAGACCTCTCCGAGTGAAGTCCTCGACAGCAAACAGTAGACCACTTGCATGAGTGCATTTTCCAAGTCCACCAACTCCTTTCCTGTAACAAACAAACAAAGAAAGCTTAAGGAAAGAGTTTGCTTTATACCTAACACTGCTCCTGCTGAATACAAAGCTGGATTCTGCAAAGAAATGAAAATTTGATGTTAATAGCAGACATATGTTTATTGCAAGGGCCAGCATGAGAGGAATGTGGAGCAAGCATTACATTAGCAAGCTGAACATCTACTTATATTCATGCTATTATATTAAAATAGTATCATTTGATGTAAGTGGATTAGACATGCCTTTACAATCTAGCAAATTAGTAAGGTGGGTGGGGTGAGGTTGGGTGCCACTGTCACTTTAAAAAATCAGTGTAGGATGAAAGCTGGAAAGATTTGTTGGTCTCTCCAAAGGAAAATCACGGTCTGGGTAACATCTCCAACTCCGATGCCTGTCAAGTGGGGAACAAATTTCAAAAAGGTCATTAGTGTCGGTGTAGGAACGGTGTGCAGGCCAACGGGCCTGGTTTAGTACGAACTGGAGAAAGCCATTTGAGATTTGTCACCCTGCAGGACAGTCGCACACTGCTGCCTTGACGTCACCATCACCATCATGAATGTAGAGTTGATAGATGCTCCAGAAAACAGCGCTGAGGGCATTATCACCATCATCAAGAGGCTGAACAAGCTCCTAGTTCCACAGACAGGAGGGGAGGACTCCACGGCGGTGGAACGGATTGTACTCGGGGGAGATGTGTTGACCAACGAGAGGGCATTTTCCGGACAAGCTGCATTGATGAATGCTGACAACGAGAAGGATTCCTGTGCTGGAATAATTCATAGACCGGAAGGACTTCACCGCCTAATGAACTTTCTGATGGTATCATCTTTTCTATGCTTTTATTTGTTTCTCTAGGACAGAGGGATTGAATGATCACCGGGGAGACAAGTCTTGTAACCTTGACTAAGACTGTACCATGTGTATCATGTGTTCAATCTCTCAATCATTATCTGTGCAACAAAGTATTGATTTCGTTGTTCCATTTTTTTTCAGATACACTAGCACACATGTACATGTACATGTACCTTGTTAAAACTTGTTGATTCATCTTGCATATTACAACAATGGTTTACAACACTATAGATTGGTACTAACCTTAACCTCTCAAACGTGTTTTCCAGGCCTTTACAGACAGAAAACATATTATGTACTGTGACACACAAAGTAACTCATTGTTTTTGTTGCACTATTGCGGGGTATCTACCAGGAGTTCTACAAAGAACCAGTAACAGGGGACCGAGCACTGCCGTACTCACTGAGGAACATTGTCAACAGACGAGACGTGGAAGGGCCCAAGTCAGTCGCAAAAGCTTACAGGTACTAAGTAATTCATTACTGTACTAATTGCATCATGGCCTTTTCCAAGTGAATGTTAACAGCAAACTTGGCTTCATAGTAATTTAGATTCTTGCAACAGGGCTAAAGATGTTTTGGTTAAGCGTTGAGAAATGCTTTTCAATTTCAGATCACACCTGGCTTTTGTGGTGGACTGTGTGGATGCCTACACCGTAGCAATGGCATGTCAGCACTTTGGCCTTTCCAGCATTGATGGCAAGCCAACAGCCAACACACCTCCAGTACTGCACGGCACTGACAAGTCCGGGAAGTGCCTGTGGCTCCTTCAACAAGCGAAGACAATAAGAAAACAACTATTGTCACCAGGTGATCATGAAAAAGCAATGGACATTGACCACATGACTCAGCAAGTTGCAGCCTTGGACAACAGACAGCAGATGCTACAAACAGTGCAACAGGAAGATGGCAAGTACAAGTGCCCCCACTGTGGGAAGGAGTACGTTCGAGAGAAAAATTTCACAAAACACCAAGAGAAGGTTCACTCCATAGACCTACATGTGGACACAGTGCCTGCTGAGGGTCAGGAACGTAAGAGTGAATGTAAATGCCAACTTCCAATTTCGTATTTGCCGCCCTTAGTTTAGCAAGTTAAGAAGGTACGTGCAAGTTCCCGCCAAAACATGGTAGTATAAAAAGGGACCCAACTCACCCGGCTCTCAGTGATACCCAGGAATTAGAATAAGACAAAAGGACCATAAGGCAAACAGGCTTCCAGAGAGGAAGAAATCAAGCTTCCAGAGAGGAAGAAATCAAGCTTCCAGAGAGGAAGAAATAGGCTTCTCTAGCTAGAAGAGAAGAACAGGCTTCCAGAGTGGAAGAAACCAGGCTTCCAAGGCGGAAGAAATCAGGCTTCCAAGACGGAAGAAAATAGGCTCCCTAAGACGGAAGAATCAGGATTCTCAAGAGGAGAAGTTGAAGAAGTTTAGGCCAGAAGAGGTTAGGAGGATCAACCAGTTTTTACGGCACTACTTATTGGATTTACTTGGCTGTACATCGGACTATTGTTATCGGACACCCACATCAAGAGCATTCCGGGACTTGCAGTAAACAACAGGCGGTACTTGTATCTGCTACTAACATTACTAGATTAAACCATCAAAAATTCAACTCTGCTTCGTGTCATGTGCATCTGACCGGATATCCAAGGTAGGCCTGTAAATTCTTTGCTATTCCTAACATTGTCTGGAGCGGGCCACGGAGTTGAGTAAAACAGAGAGATTAGTGGCGCTGCGCTTACAGTGAAGATACCCCGTCCGTTCGCACACTTAGGAACACGTCCTTTCCACTCATCAAAAACTCCAGAGTGGACTTTTGATGGTCATGCAGGCTCTCTAATCCAAAGAAGTCGCAAAAGTTCTCTTCCCAAGACGACGCCATGTTTGTTTTTATTTGTCACTGAACAGCCGATGTAAGAGCCGACATGATTGGTTCCGATAGCTAGCGCAGCTCATAAATAATTAATGTAGAGTGCGTTGAAGATTTTCTCTGTGATACGTGATTGGCTGAGAGCGTGTCCCTGGAATCGGGTCGTAGAGTAGAAGATGCCATGTAATACGGCAGGGGTAAGGGGCGGAGAAGGAATTCGGAGCCGCTGCCCCTGCCATGGGAGGANCTAATCCAAAGAAGTCGCAAAAGTTCTCTTCCCAAGACGACGCCATGTTTGTTTTTATTTGTCACTGAACAGCCGATGTAAGAGCCGACATGATTGGTTCCGATAGCTAGCGCAGCTCATAAATATTTAATGTAGAGTGCGTTGAAGATTTTCTCTGTGATACGTGATTGGCTGAGAGCGTGTCCCTGGAATCGGGTCGCAGAGTAGAAGATGCCATGTTATACGGCAGGGGTAGGGGTGGAGAAGGAATTCGGAGCCGCTGCCCCTGCCATGGGAGGATGGCCAAGTAACGCTGAGACCAGAGACTCGATCTCTTTACCATCTGGACGGCATTGAGCACTGTACCTACTAACCTTAGACGTAGAATAAACAACTGGAAATGCACTGAATCTGTGGTGATTCCTGACGTGCAAAAGCAACAGTTTCCCAACTTATTATTTCTCAAGAGCTGGACTTGATAAGGACATTTCTAAGACACACGCACAATTAAACACGATAAGTTTGAGAATGTGAGGAATATTGTCTTACCTGTGAGATGACACCGTGAGCCATCTTATTGCCACCTTTCTCACGCCCCCCACCCACCCCGGGCTCTCAGAATCCCGAGTATAGCCATACAGACAACCATGGTCAGCCCGCCCTTCGAGTGCCCGCGTCCCGTGAGAGATTCCGGCAAGCTAGTGTGACGAAACGGCAGGTCGCTCCGGCTCTGGGGGTTGATCATTAACTGCTCATGTTTGCTAACCCGTGTATACACCACGATCAGCTGATGTCAGCTTGTACACACACACAGAGAGAAGACACTCTCTCAAGGTTGAATGTATTTGAAGAACGAAAAACTGTACGCAGAGCATTCGAACGTTCTATCGAATATCGTTCGTGTTTAGAAACCAGTTCCAACCAGCTTCGACCTTAGAGAGGGGTCATGTAAAATCATGTTCCATGTAATTCCTGAATTTTTTAACCCCAGCCCCAGAACAGGGTCTTTCTTGACCTAACCAGATCGGGAGTATCCGCTTTGAATACTGATGGCCACTACTACCAGGACGGTTTTTTCCGTGACGTCAAGCATTATGTAACGTGTAAAAATACACGTACGCGTAGAAGACCTTGAATTCGTTAAAAAAACGAGAGCTTGCAACTGTAGCGCTAGCGGTATACTAGTGTAAGGATCTAATATTCCCCCTATGGGAATGGTACAACCCGCCACCCCCGGTGGCAAGTGGTCTAGTCCTCCTTTGGAACCGGATTGAGCTAGTTGAGTTACCCACATGTTCTACTGAAGAATACATACAGATCTACAGTACACCTCTCGTCTCCTCTCATCATTCCCTAACCTTGGGGTGGGGGACAGGGCGAGGAAATGGTACGTTACATTGGTGGCAGCGGTGGAATCATCTGGACCCGGCCAGGAGATCGGTAAGCCTGTCCCTCACCCCCGAACCAGACTTTGAGATGAGATTTGTTTTGCACCTTTTCGACGATGCCGTGCTCCCGCCATGATGCGACCACACCGCGGGTGCAAAGTTTCGCGGGTGCAAGCCGGCGGTGAACTACCAGAGCAGGTCGAGTTTATATTTGTCGGACTCCTAGAAGGAGAAGAAGTTCAGCTCCAACCAGGATGCCTACTTGTGTCAACAAAACCAACAAATTGTCAACAAGCCTCCCAGACTCAGCAAAATTCCCCGATGGGACGGAAAACAACAAGGGACTGAAATGGTCACACCGAAGGACGCCCTGCCCTGACATTTAGCAGATGGTCGCACTACCACCAGACCTGACTGGACGACACCTTGAGACTGGAGGACAGTTTCGTGACTCAGTCCCGGGCCCACAAGCCCCCCAGCTTAACCACTGGCAAGTTCTGTAGTCTACGGACCCCCCTCCCCCCAAGCCTCAATTCGGCCGTGGACAGCCGAGTCGGAAACCCCGACAACCCGTCATCCAGCCAGAGAGGTGGAGCCACCAGCGCTAAAACACAACGTGTTCTGATCATGAGTCCCGACCACGATTTTGCTGAAGGCGTGCAACACCTGAACTGAGCTGTTTAGTCTACCATCAGACTACTACTGTGGTAAACATCGACAATCTATTCAGATTGGGACGCGGAGAACCTGCCTCGCCAGGAATTTTTTTTTGACAGAGGTTGAATACTAGACGAAGCGTCTAGAACCTACACAGATTAATCTGTTTCTTCCCTGTCAAATTCTACCGTTGTACCTTTCATGTAGATCTGTCAAATGTACACCACATAGAACTGTATTCCCTTCATTATGCTTATGTGATGATATGTGTTAGTTAAAATGATAACATTATGCCCTGATATACCTATGTGATATTGTTAAACTTTAGTGTAAGTTTTAGCGTAGGTTTACTTGCTCTGGTGATGACATGCTTTAGTGTAAGTTTTAGTGTAAGTTTACTTGCTCTTGTGATGACATGCTTTAGTGTAAGTTTTAGTGTAAGTTAAGCTTTAGTGTAAGTTAGGCTTAAAGTGACGATATGTTTTAGTATATATGCGATGAAGATGTTATATTTCTATGATGTTTTGATGTATGATGTTATATTTCTATGATGCTGATGTTTAACTTTTGATGTATGATGATGTTTTGATGTATGATGTTATATTTCTATGACACTGTATTCCATGGTCCAGGTGTGACGCTATATTCTGTTGTGTCAGGTTGCGACACTTAACGTTCTTCCCTATTTGTTAACAGTTCTGAATAGATCAGTTTGTTGTAGAGTTTAGATTGTTCCTTAAATATTACATTGTTACATTGTTATATCTCATTCTGTAAACTTCAGGAGAATTTTACTTGTTGTAGGGGGGAAGAGTGTAAGGATCTAATATTCCCCCTAATGGTACAACCCGCCACCCCCGGTGGCAAGTGGTCTAGTCCTCCTTTGGAACCGGATTGAGCTAGTTGAGTTACCCACATGTTCTACTGAAGAATACATACAGATCTACAGTACACCTCTAGTCTCCTCTCATCATTCCCTAACCTTGGGGTGGGGGACAGGGCGAGGAAATGGTACGTTACACTAGTGTTACTCGTCATATAAATGGGTTATGTAACATCCTCTATGAATAATATTTCTTAGGCTACAGCAGGTAAATTGTATGAATGAATATCCTTCGCAGACTCTAAAATTGATGCGATATATCTATATCATGAGAGCAAAAAAACAAGACGGGCAAAAAAAAACACCCAAGATTCTTACATTTTCAATTTTTGATATCATAAACCTTGTTAAACAAGAATTTGGGCGGCAAAACATGACATGTACATCACAACAATTTTACAGGTCTTTTGTTCCTGTAGTCAAGTTGCCAGTCCTTGTTGTAGATGTGTATAATTGTAGAAAAGAGCTCGTTTAATTGTACCATGAACATACAACTACTAGACTCTACTACACTGGGTATCCGTGTACGATGAAACACCTTCGACTGTCAACACTTGTCATCAAATGTGAGCAATTGTGCGTCAAGTTTGCTGGATCCCTGATGGTCGACGTCTCTGAACCGATAGACGTTTACCATGCCCATTTTTGGCATGTCGACCACCGTCAGAGGGCAACAAAAGTTCTTTCTTTTTTTCCAAAATCAGGCAAGAATTAATGCGTGCGTCGATGTCATCCATATAGAAATTACGAGTACTTGCTGTTGCCTTACTAGAAGTAACGCTATATTCATATCTGACACCGACGTGTTAAATATTACGTTAATGATAATTTGATTTTTACTTCCGAAACTGTGAATGTATAGGGCAGATATTACACCAATACTAGCAGCAAAGCAAACGTGTGAATGTTATCTAAATATCAACACTTTTCCACGGAAAGCTTTATATATGATGTTTTAGGTAATGCCACTGGAAGATTTGGATATACCTAGGTAGATATGCCAGCTCTCACAATATTTATTTATTTATCTTAACAACGTATGGGTAGTCTCTTCAGCCCCGCGGGGCTGATTTCCAAGAGAGCCCATAATAAATAAACAAGAATATAATGCAAACAAGGATACAGAAAAGATAATATAACATAAATTAAATCAACATAAATTAAGCACAATAAAAAAAAGAAAGATAGCTAAATACATGAACATTTGCTTTGTTATTAGAAAAGATACTGAAATCCACTTCATTTGTAACCTTTATCCACCAGGTGGATTTTATCTGTCACTTAAAAACATTGTATTTAAAAAGGGTGGGGTCGTGTGGCGCAGCGGTAGCGCGTTCGGCTCGGGACCTAGAGGTCCAGGGTTCGATCCCCACCCATGTCACCGATCTTGTGCCCTTGGGAAAGGCACTTTACACGAATTTCCTCACTTCACTCAGGTGTAAATGAGTACCTAGCTTCGGTTAGGGACGTCCCTCGGATAGGACGTAAACTGGAGGTCCCGTGTTTGAGGAGAGCCATACCTTGAGCATGTTAAAGATCCCACCACACCTTTCGAAAAAGAGTAGGGGCATGCCCCGGTGTGCGATGGTCCATATTCTGCAACCCAAATACTACAGTGTAGCAGAATCATCAGCATGTTGATGTTGGCTACCTTAACCTCCAAGACCAAGACCAAGAGCTCTGATACAACACGCAAGGTGGAGTACCTTAGCCTCCTTCGCAGACTTCTGATGTGGAGGCGTTAATTTTTTTTTTCGGGGAGAGACGCGAGTTACTAGTATGTCGCGGGGACGGTTTTGCCGCCGAGGGACTTTGCCGAGGAGAGACGGTTCTCATGCGGGGAAACCGTCTGCGAAGGAGGCTAGAAGTGCCTAGGGTATGTTGCATTGAGATGTCTGTAAACACAGTGTTTCTCATCAACCTTTCTCAATCTCTACTCTACATCATTTTGACAATTGATTAATGACAATACCGCTTTCATTTGCCGGCATACATGCATATCTGGGGGTGTACAAAGATAACCCTTGTTATCTCTGAATGTCCCCAGCAAACAGAGATGAGTGCTCTGATTTGGACTGGATGTATCAGTTGATGTTATTCGCGTATATCGGTAAACTATGACCTAAATCCACGTGAAAACGTCCATTTCAAACTCTTTGACCACCCAGACTGTTTTGAGTGTAGTGACAACGTGTTTCAATAAAAAAAGCCCCTGTCACAAATAGACCAATATGGCCTCCCGAACACTGCCAAACTCCCTACAACCATGGTTAGGTACGTCGCACGTACATGTACGTCGGGAGCAAGGTTGGCTGGCGTTAGGCGAAGTCGGCAACTGTTCGGCTGCGCCATTCCGGTGTGAACGAGAGGTTCGGCCATGGTTGACTGATGTTCGGGGCGTCTTCGGGGGGCCAACTTTAACTTAAATCTAACTCAAATTTAATCCGAATTGCCTAGGTCTGAATCTGATCAGACTGCTCCCGAACTTCATCCAACCTTGAGTAAGAATCTGGGAGAGTAGAAACAGAAAGACACTTCTGCTGGTCCCGGGATCGCTCCCATGCCAAACCCGGACACCAGATTGCACCACGACGCTCTAACGCTTCGACTAAAAGGTCTAGACCCGTCGGCCGGATCAGTTGGTAGCGCCTATAAACCCCCCACTGTTACACTTGGTTGGTTGGTGGTCTGGGAAGGTTCTGAATGTGTGACGGGCTTGACGGTGCGGTCACATTGGTCGTACGCCGTCGTACGCACGATTTTGATTATCAAGGTAGTGACAGAATGATCTACGAACGCCTAAGACAGCCTGGTCTTTCCCGGTAAGATATATGCACGACTGTCCCACGAATGACCCCGATCATCGCACGACGACAGTACGACAAATAGGCTAGGACAGCTTATTTTAGGAATACAATTCTTCATTTACAACATCATGGAAGTTATGTGAGTTAGAAACGAATAAAAAAAATGAGCCGCCAGATTCTTGTCCTTTAGTACACGATCCTAGCAACTTACTCAAACATTATTTGCATAAACTTGACCCTCACAAGGACCAGTTTTCAACCAAGAAAATAATATAAACTGTTATTTGTTCCTTTCTGCAAGCAGGGGAAAACAACATAATTTAGAATGGAACTTGTTAGAAGTAATTTGGCACCGTTATGCCGATTGAGCGTGACTAATACGCCGGTAGTGTAAGGTCCTGCCCTAGCTCAGGCTTCAAAACAGACTCAGTCATGCCATGCATGCCAAGCAGATATGAGTAGATCAATCTATTTCGGCCTAAAAATGGGGTAGGGAATTTCCCGAGTAGCCTTCGTAACCCCTGCTTCGACTGTCGAGTCAGTCAAACTTGCCTAAGCCTGATGTTTCTGACTTAGGGAGAAGAAAATGCTGCCGGTTACTGAGCGTTACTCGTAGTTCAGTGCCATGAATACAGCCCTTTTGGCTTTACACTGAGCAAACTCGTTAAAAAAAGATGTAGAGTCTGACTTGTTGCCTACTTTTCTAGCAGACGTTTGGGATTCGGTATATCACATTTCTCTCCATACCAAATGTATGGCTGTAATTGTTTTTTTTTTCTTGGTCTTCGTCTTCGTCTCCCCCACTTTAATTTCTTCATTGTTGACCTGAAATGACCTGAAATTTGGTATGGAGGTAGAGGTTTTTTCCATGCAGACTTTTAGAAATTTTATGCCATTTTGCTTTGGAGGCGTGCTACTAAATCAAAATATAAACTAGAAAGGTAACATTTGCAAAGCAAATGTATAATGTTTACCTTCGCATATGGTTTGCTCTGTTTTATTCTCACTCAAACGCATTCATATATTATAAGGTGACAGGAGTCAAAATCCCTCCTGCTATAAAATTGCAACATGATGTGACCCAACACTAGTTACCATGGTGTCAGGTCAGTGATCTTATTTGTTTGGAGATGAAGAGGAAGAAGAAGAAACAGAAAAAACAACATGTTTTCCTTCTGCGAAAGTAACATAAAAAGGTGATTTTTTTAAAGATACTAATACAGCATCATTACATGTATTTGTGGTTTGTTTAATCCCACGGCCGTGGAATTAACCATTTTAGTAGCGAAATCCACGGCCGCGAGGGCCCAAGGTGTCGTCAAGGCCGAGGATTTTTAAGGTGGTCAGTTGTTTGAGTAAGAATTAACAGATTTCTATGGAGATTGCCCTCAAATGCGGGCAAAATTTAGCTTGCCAAAATGTGTGTAATACATGTATTCTCTATACTTTCACACCGGGGATAGAAATGTTTTGAAATGTTCATTTGTACATTGAATAAACACAAAAATCTATAAAAAAACGATTTACTAAGTTACGTCCCCTGGTTACCAAGTATGTTTTCCAAGGATAGGTCAGGAAAACTTCACCCTGTAAACTTTACAGTAGTACGGTGGCGACATCTGGCGAAATGGAGCTGAAGTGTGTGGGATTTTGTTTTACAGTTTTTTTTTTTAATTTTGTTAAATTTTTTTTTGAGTACATATTTTGCTGAAATGATGCGTTTTTAACTGTTTTATGCGGCATTTCTTTAGGGGTCCCAGGGGAGATCTTTAAAGCGCAGCTGCCTCACCAAAAAGTAGGTTTATGGAGTAGAATCAAGCATTTGTACATTTCGTTATGAGAGAGAGATTTTATTATGAGAGGGGGGGAGGGATGGGAGGGGGAGAGAAGAGAAAGAGAAAGAGAGGGAGAGAGAAAAATAAAGAGAGAGAGGTAGATTGTGAGAGAGAGTGTGAGAGAAAGAGGGAGCCGGGGAGGGATCCTCGAGGGAGAGAGAGAGTCCTGACAACTCACCCAAAATGACGACGACGATATTCAAAATGCTTAGATACGCCAACTGGACGTTGGGCTGGGGTAAAAAAAGAATTCGAAGAAAGTCCGATGAATAAAAGACTAAAAACACGCCAAAACCCAAACGCACTGTGTTTTTAGCGAATGACCACAAGTGACCTGACTCCTGGGGCCGTCCTTCTTGAACGAATCTGAAATTTATTTATGTGATGCATGTCCAGGTTGTGCTTCCATTTATTCATCCCAAGTTTGAAGAGAATCCATCCATCCAAAGTTATATAAACCGAAGTTGACAGCTGTACTTCCGTTTTTTTAACGAAACCTCTGCTTGGAGAGAAGGTCTCTACCTTCCGGGAATGTGACCATGGTAATGTTACAAGTTATCAAAGGAAATGGCCCTGTGTGATACTGTATAAATCTAACAGGTGGCGCTGCTATTAACATTATCATATTATTATAATAATGACATCATGTTAACCTTGATTGGACAGAAAGAGTCACCTGATCTGAATTATTCCTGTCCTTCCCCTGTTTGTTTCGCCCGCCAATTTTGGACTGAGTCTGTCTCGGTGTTTCTACTTCAAGTTCAAACATAGCAGTCGAAAGAACCGCAAGTATGTCTCAGCAGACGAAAATCTTCAAGTTCCTTTTGCCGATGTCAAGTAACACACCGATACAACGCCAAAGTTCGTCGTCTAGTCAGGCCTCCGACGTCCCCAAACCGTCGCCGTCCCCATCGACTTCCAACCGCCGGGCAGGGTCGAGACCGCCTCCGAAACCTGGCAAGCCAAAAGGTCTGGGCAGCCCGAAACCACGTCGTAAACGGAAAAGTGAGAGTCCGTGTGAAAGTGGCGACGGTTCGCAGGTAAATTATATATATATATAAACGCACTGCACTTCGCGAGGAATTAGGCATCAGTCGGGGGCCGGGGAGGGCTGGTGTGCAAATATGGCCAAATATGGGCCCCAATTTGCACAAAAAATTATGAGGGTCAACAAATACAAAAGTACTGGCATCCAGTATCAGCACATAACGTTATAGCACGCCCGACATGATGATGATGAGCCCATATAATTTAACTAATCTTTCATAAGACTAACCCATGGAGGTATCTTCTAACTCCATGACTAACCCAAGAACGTCCTTGACTACCCAAGTATTTTATGGCCCTGAGGCCCCTCCCCCAAGCCATTTTTTTCGATGGCCCTCCCCTCAGGCCCCAAAATACAATGCCCCCCCCACTGGTTGCCCTAACCCCAATAGGCCTTACTTTAAATACTTCACTGTTTTCATTGGGTACTGAAGCGTGAAAAATGTTGTAACAATGATATGATATGAATCTTTATTGCATGTTCTTGCCCAGATGGGCTATATAAATGCACAAGAGGATATCCAGTATGTAAAACATGAGCATTTCATACTGAAACGTTATATTCTAATGCAAAGTGCTAAGAATCTATACAATACAACAATACTATATGTACTACCTATCATCTACTGTTAGTTGCCCTTTCTTTTTACAATAAGAAAAACGATAAACCAGACTCCAAAATGACGAATGTGTGTTACTACTAGTAAGTGGATATAACGTTAACAATAAATATTATTTAATTCAACGTTAATTATAATATTTACTTTTTTAAATCTTATGACTGTTCCTCTCTAGGTGAAGACAAGAAAGAAAGGAAACAAAGAAAATGAACCATCAGCCTCAACCCAGGTGCATAAGGAACACCCAAACACTGGTTTGTGTACTATTATGCATACATGTTTATGTGATAGTACAAAGTACAATGTAGATATGAATGAGACGAGTGAACAATAGACCGATCTGATCGAACACATCAAACCCTCTGTTCTATTTCGAACACCTCGGTCAAAATCAGTGCAGGAAATCTAAGAGCAGCAAAATGAGTTCATGTCTGCTTGATAAAGACTCGTTGTGTTACCGGTGAAGCTGAATTTCTGGCATTGGGGGTAATTCAAGTTAATCAAAGATGTTCTGTCATTCTTGTATTTGTTTATAAAGCTTACATTATTGTTTATGTCCCTGTTTGCGAGCTTATGTTTCTACTTGTATCACAAAGCCCTTTATAAGTTGCGCCCTCCCTTGTGAGCACCCGAGCTGTTTTCTTCTAATTTGTTTTTTTTTTCCTGGGCTTGCAGGTAGGAGTAATGCATGCAGCAATGCCGTGGAAAACCTGTCACAGATAAACATAATCTGCGCAACACATGCATCAGCTGTTTATCAGCAACCGGGCACTCTTGTCTGCCTACCGTGTGATTTTATGCGGCGCATCCCACGTCCCCATTGAGTGAACACATTTTGCTCTCTCTAAAACTAACCCTGAGTGTCCCCTCCTTAAATAATTTGAATAGGCAGATGTGTCCTTCAACAAAGATAGCGTATTACCCTTTTAGGGGGCTCTGAGAGAGTTTTTTGCTGCCAAAAAACTTTACCTTAAAGTTGGACAGCAAAACCGACATTCTGATGGCGGCCGGCACAACCCTGCGCAAATTTTGCCCTAGGTGTTCGAGTTGTTATTGTTAAAGCATTGCTACGGGGACGTGGCTTCAGGATCGGTCTATTGAGACAAAACATGCAAGATGACAGCCAGGCCAGTACTTTGTTGGAACATACTGGAACTGCACGAAACTTATTGCTTTATTTTTCTCTTCGGGGGACATCATGTTTCGGCTGAAGGTTGCCCTTAAAGAGCTTCATGGAGATTTTGAGATACGAGCACCCGGAAATCAGCCCATCCTAGATGCTCTTCAGGCAGACAAAAGGCTCGAGAAAATCAACAAGAAGCTCCATAAGATTTACCTCCAACCATGTGGTGAACCCCCCCCCCCCCCAATTAATGGGGAACCCAACATCGGGAGCCCCTGCCGTGTGATAGAGGGGGGGAGGTTTGAGGCAAAGTCACGGGGAAAAGATCAAATCCCTAACAAGTACATGTATACTGATGATCAGCTGAGGTGCAGTAAAAGGTATAAGATCTACCTTGATGTTAAGAATCGGCCTAGTATGAATGCCAAGTTTCTTACTAAGGATAATCCTAAGGCTTTCCCCTTTGACATTTTGGTTGATTGCCTTCCACATGATACATTTCTGACAGCTCTTTACAGAGATGCACGGATTGGCAATAACAAACTCAAGAATGCCAAACCCATGTGCAAAGATAGTACTGACGAGATAAACATTAAACTCACAACTAGGTGTTCCGATTTTGATGGCAGGACCTTCACCTGTAAAGTGGCTAAAGACTCGCAAGTTAGTGAGGAAGAATGGAACCAGACAGTGGCCAACAGTCCTGATGTAGCTCTGTCAGATTCTGAGGAGAGTTTTGGGACCCCAGATTCACAGGGTTCTGGGACAGAAATACTAGTAGATGCATCGCAGGCATCAGATAGTTGGAAGTTGGATCCTCAGGTAGTGGACCTTCACGGGAGAGGAACCGCCTCACCTGATCCGCAACAGTGAGTTCATTTTAATGCCTTTTAATCTTATCCTAAACTCAGGTGTGTGAATATTTCTGTCAAAACTCGCTGTTTTTGTTCCTTCAACGCTTGGATGAACCGATACTTCCCCAAGTTGTAAGTAGTCCGACCGAAGTGCTAACGTCACTGATGCCAACGATGACTGACCGATGTAACGTGTTCCTGTACTTGTGTGCGACCGCAGGACACCTCGCGAACCCTCGGACCGACTCACCACCATTGATCGATCTCACCACAGACGAAGACCAACGTCATGGACTGGTCAGCAATGGTAAGTTTTCTTTTCTGTCTTCTCTCTTCCATGATCTCCAAGCTGAGATCAACGACGACGCGGCGGTGCATTGACTCTTTCTTGGGAACAGTCTGCAGCGGTGACGTCATAAAGGAAGGTGAGAATGGGGGATTCGAGAAAGGGCCCTGTATAGCGCCGAAGGCCATTTCAACACTTAAATACCTGTCGACATCTGCGGGGAACAGCACGGCTGACCGATGATTGCGGGAGGTCGGGGTGGGTGTTGTATCAAGCACATAACCGATAGGCCATCCGAAGTCCAAGAAATCACAGATCTCTTTGTCTGGGTAGTCCTGTAAAAGCTGGCGCCAGACCGGGACCTTCAACTTAGAAGGGACTGGGATCCTGCATGATTGGAAATTATACTGTCCGGAAGCCTCTACTGTGATATGCAGATCTCGGAAGGTGGAGCTGTCCACGATGGCCGCATTTGGGACCGTCTGGTCGGGTGGGTGAGAGAGTGTTTCTGATTCAGTGGACGTGCTTGAAGGGCAGCCGGAATCACCCTGACGAACTGACGGAGAAGAGTTGTTGTAAGCGCACGGCTCATCACCACAGGAGCGCGATGTCACGGAACAGGGCGGGTCACCGCCTGGGGACGGTACTACGGAGCAGTCCTGGCGACCGCATGGGAGCGATGCAACGGGACAGGACTGGGCACCGTGTGGGAGCGGTGCTACGGTGTGCGATACGCCTGGGAAAGACACGGGGGGCGACATGCTCTCTGCTGGTAACGACGGAGGCAGCGGGTGGTACGGATCTGGCCATAAACTAGGAATTTGCATACTGAAGTCTAGAAGCTCCAGATCGGATGGGAAGGAGCGTGTAGCTATAGTCTCAGGACGGCAAGGTACGGCCCATGGGCATAGGTCAAGGTCATCAGCCAATACAGGAGAAGGGAAGTCCGAATTCATGTCCATAAATCGTGCGGTCAGTAGGCTAGAAGACTCGGCTGATGGTGGAGCTAGTCATGCTGTCTGGCCGGCAGGGGGCGTGTGCTTAGCCCTGTATGCCGGGTCGCCGTAGGGACACTGCGTGGCCGGGTGCTCCTGTCGTGATTGTCGCATGATGATGCAAGGCCGGCAGAAGTGGTAAACGGTTTGGCCAGTGCTGTTCCTATGTGCCCGTTTAGCATCAGGACTGGCTTCACATGCCCCCTTGTTATAATCCTTGCATGTCATAGGCAGGTATCTTCTCTGAGATTGATTCGAACTGTTTGATCCACCCTTGTGCTCGAACGGCCGCCGTAAATGCTGTGATTTCATCGCCTGGACCTTTTTCATGAATTTCCTGTCCGTCCAGTGCAGTTCCTTTCTCTCTACCATCCCAAAGATGTGAGCGTTGAAGTCAAGGATGGACTTGTACCCGAACTCTGGTACCTCAAGCATGAGGAATCTCAGGATCTTCTGGCGTTGTTTACGCTCAGCCCTCGACACATCAGCTGATATAATGATATCCATAGAGCCGTACAGAAACTGGTGCCATTCCATATCATGGTACTTCACAGCCCCTGCCTCCGTGACGGGCAGGCGTTCTTGCGGATATATGACTCGGCATTTCACGCTATTTGTTGCCTTTCTATGTAAGCCGCTCTTCATCGACTTCTTCTTCTTACTAGATCGAGAGCGAGAAGGCTTACCTCCATAACTCGTGTCAGAAGACACACTCCTGTCCGAAGATGAGGACGTAGACGAGAACTCCGGGGAGCTGTGCAACTTCCGAGACGGGCGTCGGGACCTGTGGGAGGGGGGCGGAGAGCTATTGGCACGCTTCGTGACGTCACCTGCCATCTTGCGAAAATCTCTCAGCACGGCGGCCGAAATCCTCGATAAACGCTGCGAGGAGGGAGAAGACGACCTCTTGCGACCTGAAGACTGCCGTGCCAGCGGTTCTTTGGGCGTCGTACGGTCGTCCTTTGTGCGCTGGATGTCCAGCTTCAGTTCCTCCAAGTCTTTGCTCATGTTTTGGAGCTCACGCTCCATGTGCTTCTGGAGTCCCGACCGACTGTGACGCGAAGAATGGGCCGACAGCGCGTCGGAGTCATGAGAGAAGTCGTCAGCCAAGTCCGGGTCGTCCGTGAAGTCGCTGAATCGGGCTGGTTTACGGGTCTTACGCTTTCCAGCGCCCCACATGGTTCGGAAGACAGAAGATAGCTAAAGGACCGAAAATGGCTGCTCCCTTTCGGTTGGAAAATGAACAGGCTAATGCGCATGCGCCCCTGGCTTCCCCTTAGAGGGGGGCGACCCAACTCCTCAATCTCCAGTGCAATCCCCGGGAATTACGCCTATTGCGCAATCCCAACATAGTTTTGGGACCCCAGATTCACAGGGTTCTGGGACAGAAATACTAGTAGATGCATCGCAGGCATCAGATAGTTGGAAGTTGGATCCTCAGGTAGTCAAATGGGCAAAGGAAATGAAATGTAGAAGCCAGAAACAAGTTGCTAAACTCTTGTCATCAAAGCATGAAGCAAAGTTTGAGAGGGAAACAGCAAAATCAGATGAAAAGAAAAGGAAGCGAAAATTGAACAAAATTTGTCAACCTTTCAGACAGGATTATAACAATGCTAACCCAGGTACCATACCGGTTAGATTGCTGAAAAAGCTTCACGTGTTAGCTTGCTCCGTCGGGATTCTTAAAATATATAGAAATGGTACTGGTAGAAGTTTGGGGACATGTTTTAGACTTGGATCAAGATATGTTCTGACCAACAAGCATGTTAAAGAAATTGCAGGTCTGAATGATGTCTATGTGTATTTCGACTATGATGAAACATGTATGGAAGGGCAGCATGTTGCATTTAAAGTTGCACGTATTGTTCACATCAGCAGCCCTCAGGGAGAAGGCATAGATGAGTTGGATTACAGTCTGTTGGAGCTGGAAGTTCCCCCTGATCAGTTTGATAAGCTGCCACCTGGTCTGGGGCATAAGATAGAGAAAGCTGTCCAGAGAGCAACAGTTAGAATCATTGGGCACCCAGGTGGTAGGCCAAAAGAAGCAGACTTTAGCTGTCCTGTTGTGGGTACAAATCACACAATCGCAGTCTATTTTAAGTTCCATTCTGGACGTCATGCAGATGATCAAATGCTGAACAACCCAAAGAGATGTAATTACTTGTCTTCATTTGATGGCGGTTCGTCTGGGTCGCCGGGGTTTGACGATGATCAAAACTTGGTGGTTATGCACACATGTGGGTACCATCTGTATGACACCGCTAAAGTTGAGGTGGCACAAGGTGTCAGAATGACAGCCATACGAGATGACCTCAAACAACATCTCTCAGCAGATGTATGGGATGATTTGTTCCTCCCTCCAACACAGGATATGGAAGTTGATGAAGGAAATTGATGATTTGAAAGTGCAAAAGTCCAAGTTACAAGTTAAGCTTGGTTTGCAGGACATTTTTATATTCCACCTCACTTTAGACATATATGTTTGGTGTATAGGGCAGTGCCAATCTCTTCTGTGTTCCCATGGGCCACACAGACCACTACGACAGGGGGCTTGTCCAGTGGCGTCCAACATCCTGTCATCCATACATTTTGTCTTTCTCGTAGAGCACGGAGAGTGTGTCTTTTAACTCCATGCTGAGAGCAGATAGAGAAGTGTATCACTAAGAATTTGAAGGCAATCAACCCCAAAAAAAGGTCTTGCTGTTACCTCAGATAAAACAAGTGCCTTTTTATTAATTGAAACAAAGTACCTTTTGGAACAGAAGGAATCTTTTTCTTTAGGTTTTACTAAAAAAAAAACTGCAGTACAAAAAGTTTATTCCTTGCAAGGACTTCGAAATTCTTTTATGAAGTTTCTCCTTTAATTGTGTAGGAATCAGACATCAAAGACCTTGAAAGTGCCAACCCCAAGGGGCGATTCTGGATTAAGGTTGACGGCACAGATATCAAGCCTGCTCTCCAGGAGTCAAAGAAGGGGGAGTGGAACGGCGATCCAGACCTTAAAGATTGCAGAGTACAGAACTTGAGAAAGGAGAGAGATGACCGGCTCAAACTCTTAGATGCCACAGAAGGGGACACACTCCGCCGACTAGGTCTGCAGCAACTGGACTGTCCCTGAGAAACGCAGAGAGGATCAGTCTGCTGAGAGGATCAGTCTGCCTCCAGCTCGTACAAAGAGACTGCGCAATTCCTTCTTACACTGTGCTATCCGGTTGTATAACAACAGACCAACACTTGATACACAGTAATCACTTTGTATATATGTAATGCTAAGTGTGTTCGCTTTGCTTTTATGGATAGAATTGGTTGTAATTGAGATACTGTTTTTTTAAGATATTCTGCTTGTGACGTTACTTGTTACTTGTTACTTGTAATGTTAAACTTTGTAATGTGTACATTGACTCATGAATTATGTAACCAGGACGTATTTCGGGCAATTTTTGCCCGCGAGCTCCTTTGGACTTTTAATAAACTTAAACTTAAAACACTCGAAACCAAACTTGAAGACATTGTCAACCACTTCGAGTCAGATGCACAATTCCTGAAAAAAAAATCTGGAACACACTGTTACAATATACCAAAAGAAGATTGATTCACCAACAACAAGGGAAGAGACGCTCAGGGAACTGAGCTGGGAAATTGTGGAGCTGAGTACCCTCATCGAACAGGCAACCATTTCACACAATCGTATAAGGACATCATAACCTTGTTGAATCCACAAACCCCCCCTACCTGAAACAGTCATCTCCAGACACAAAAGCAATAAATCTGACCTTCTCAAGTACACCTCAAGCGTTTTCAAAAAGAGAAGACAACCTGCTGCCAGCCATGTCTTAGTGATCATGTTGTCAGATGAGGAGAGGAAGAGGAAGCCATATGCTCTACCTGTTCAATTCTTCTTCTTCTTCTTACGTTAATGTCCGGCTGCCGTCACTCCGACAATTACTGACATGTTTAACGGGTCAAAGGTCACCATATACTAGTATGTGATTTAGGCAAGGTTTGACACCTTCGAAGCGAAGGTCGCCAGGGATGGAGACTGTATAATGTCTTCAGGCAGTGGGTTCCAGTCTCTGATCGTTCGAGGGAGGAAGGAGTTGAAGCGGTAGTTTGTACGGCAGGACAGCTGCTGGTACTGCTGACTGTGTCCTCTGCGGCGCCTCGTGTTACTGGCAGGTAGGGGGTTCAGTGAGTCACAACTCACACAGGCAAGACCATGCTGCATTTTGTACAACATGGCTAGTCTGCTGTTACGGCGTCGAGCCTGGAGGGACAACCACTGGAGCTGGTCTATCATTGCAGAGACACTAGACGTGTTTCTATAACGGTGAAGTACAAAGCGTGCAGCTCTGCGCTGGATCTTCTCAATTTTGAGGATATCCTGGTTGGTGTGAGAGTCCCAGACGCAGCTGGCGTACTCCACGATCGGTCTAACCAAGGCTTTGTACGCCAGCTCTTTGGTCTTGCTAGATCCCACTCTCAGATTTCTTCTAAAGAAGCCTAGCATCTTGTTGGCTTTAGAGCATGTATTCTCAATGTGTTTGCTAAAGGAGAGATCTGTCTGTAAAGTAATTCCAAGATACTTTGCAGAGGGCACGCGCTCTAGGGTGTGGTTATGCAGCATGTAACTGGTGTTGGCAGTGGGTGGGTTTCTGGCTCGTGTCAAGGGCAGTTGTTGGCACTTATCTGGATGGAAGGCCATGTCCCACTCTCTTTCCCAGTCTTCTAGCTTGTTGAGGTCTGCTTGTAACTCTAACGAGTCCTTGGAACAGGTGAGCAGACGGTAAACGGCAGTGTCGTCTGCAAAAAGACGGGAGGTAGAGGAGATTCTCTTCGGCAGGTCGTTAATGTAAGTAATGAAAAGGCACGGTCCCAACACCGTGCCCTGTGGGACGCCGGATCTCACATTCACAGAGCTTGACTGGACACCATTTACTACTACAGCCTGCTTGCGGTCACTGAGAAAACTCGCTACCCACTTATTTATGCGTCCTCTAATCCCGTAGTGGTCTAGTTTGTGTACGAGAAGACTGTGATTCACCCGGTCGAAGGCTTTTTGAAAGTCCATGATGATCACATCTGTTGCAACACCTCGCTCCATGGCTGAAGAGACTTCTTCAGTAAACTCAAGGAGCTGAGTCTCACAGGAGCGGTGCTTGCGAAAACCGTGCTGCTGTGTCGATAAAATGTTGTTCAGTTTAAGGTGGCTCATTATAGCACTGACTAAAACGTGTTCGAGGATTTTGGCAGGAACACTGGTTAGAGAGATAGGGCGATAGTTGGACGCCTTGTAGTGCTTTCCAGTCTTGGGGTACTTGGCCTGTATTTAATGACGACTGGTAGATTATGGTGAGAATAGGGGCTAGCATCCCCTATGCAAGTCTAAGGGACCAATTTATCAGAGACCTAACAAGGAGGCTGAAATCTAGTACAGTGTAAGTTAGTCATTACTAAATCGTGTTTAGCTCTCAGAATTGGGGTTACGACTATTTGCAAGCAGAAGAATGACGAACAAGAAAAGTTTTGCCCCCCTCCCCCTTTACCCCGAGGTGGAACTGATTACTATTTTTTTTTTTTTTTTATTATTATTCCAACATGTAATCACCAGACGTGGTGACGGCACTATAAAGTTTTGCGATTACTATTTGTAACTATATCATGTTGTCGCAAGTCGCAACTCCTACTGGCCATGCCCATGGTCATGAAGACCGCAGCTTGGACATTACCAACTTCACGGACGGGAACGTTGATGATGCCAGCAAGTTCCAACTCAACCAGGAGAGATGTCCTAACTACTGGATACAAGAATCTTCCCTAGAATCTTCAAGGACAAAGCGAATACAGGGTGGGGTCATGAACAGGTATTGTCAGAAACTGGTTAGACATACACAAGTTCAAGTTCCTGACATACTCGACTGCAACACATGGTCAACCCAGCCTTTTGGCCAAACGCCCGTACACCAACTGGAAGGACGCGCTATGTCAGACGTACAAGAGCACGCCGGAAAGTGCGAGTACCACAAAATGACTCAGGCAAAGGTGACAGCCTTCGTCGAAACCATGCAGAATCCTGGACGTCGCATTGACTTACCAATGTCATCACAGTCCGCCGACCGCGTCGAAACGTACCGCGCGTTTCTTGTCTGTTATTAAAATGCCCGGAGCCGTGTGGCCGGCAGGGACTCGCTCTTCGCGGACATCGCACAGCTGATGGTCCATTCTCTTACAAAGGGAACTTCCATGTCCTGCTGCAGCTGAGGGTGGATGCTGCAGATGTGGCTCTGAAAGATCACCAAGACACGTGCTCGCAACGCAACGTACGCCTCAAAAACCTCACAAAACCAGCTTATGGAATGTGTGAAGTAGTATATTCTAGAGACAATCGCCCATGAAATAGACAGCCAACAGTTCGGTGCATACTTTGGGATCATGGCCATGAGGTAACGGAGAGCAATTGAGAACAGCTAGGCCTACTTGTCAGTTACACCAAGGACCTCTTCGCTAGCTGCATGTGAGGAATTCACTGTGAGAGCGCTATGCGACATTGTAGTTGGCCATCTCACAAAGGTCAATCTAGACCCTGCAAACTGCAGGGCCCAGTGTTTCGATGGCGCTGGCAACATGACAGGCGTGCGAAATGGCTGTGCAGCAAACTTCCAAAGGACGGCAGCACCAACAGCACCCTACTTCCATTGTGCAAGCCGTGATCTGAATCTATCCCTTTGAAAGGCCAGCAAGGTACAAGGTATTCAGTGCATGATGGAGACGCTGAAAATAGTGGGGATTTTCTTCCAAGTACTCCCCGAAGAGACAGCGGGAACTGGAAAGGGCCATTGGCATTGAGAGAGGAAATGAAGAAAGGGTTGCCTGTGCACTCTGCCACTCGAGTAGATTGACATCTCTAGCAGTTAATATAAACCATGATATAATGTGTCAGATTTTTGTTTTCACGATGTAAATGTATCAGACGTTTTATGAAATGAACAAATAATAAAATAACTGTAGGGTCAGAGACTCGTTCAAGGCACGGGCCTTTTACAGTTCGTAAAGATGTCCTTCCAAGCCTCAACATGTAAAAGGCCCGTGCCTTGAACGTGACTCTGACCCGACAGTTGCGTGCCGCTCAGACCTTCAGGGCTGTTGACGTCTCCCAGACAAACAAGAAATGAAGCAGATAACATCAACTAGCTCAAGCCCCATATCACAGCCAGTGTAGAACTGGATATCCGCTCGTTCTCGATACAAGCAACTTATAACTTTCTGCAGCAGACAACTCCCACCATTCATTCCTTGGTAAAAAAAACACCTTGTGACGACATACGTAGTTACAGCCCAATCACAGTCTGTCGCTACGGATTGATGTCAACAAGTGTAGGTTTACAGAGATAAATTAGTTGATTCAAAAGGCTTGTTTCAGTTGTTATTACGACTACCAACTGCTTACAGACGTACAGCTGATGCAAGTTCAGAACACAATTCTCAACTTTGACAACACAGACACAGCAATTGATCCAGAGTTTTTCAACCTTTCGGGTTAAGCTGTACCCTCCACATTACCACATGCCTGAAAGGCTAGTTCATCTTTAAAACTAGAAAGGCCAATATTTGCTTTGGAGCAAATACAGCGATGGGTTCACCACATTTTACGACATGGCAGGGAAAGAATGAGAAACACAAGGGAAAACAATGATTTACATTGATATAACTATAATATGAAGTAACATACAACTAAAACAACAGTTGGATAGCTATTCCCTTCTTTATTGGTTTGGATTTCTAATTGCATAATGCAAACTGTTGATTTTCAAAATAAAAAAAAAACGTTCATGCCCCGCATTCCAATGCTGGAGCAGAAAAGCTTGAAATACCTACCAAAACACTTGAATAAAGACATACTGTCAGTATGGAAATGCTCTGTGCAGGTGTTAATCAAGTTAAATCCCAACAGCCAATCAGCAAGAAGTATAGAGGAAAGCTGCATGCCTATTGGTTGATGCCCTGCATTCCATTGTGATGACTCATGCCCAGACGTGGTAAACACGGCACACTAACACAGTAATACATTTGCTATAACACAGCCAAAAAACTCAAATAAAACCATTCTAAAAGCCTGTATCACAAAAATTTTAAAAACGCCTTATTTATATGATTTAATGCATAATTTGTTTTTTTTTTACAAAATAATGTAACAGTTGTAATAATATGTAACATATAAAAATTATTATACATGCACATGTGTACACTGATAAAAGCTGTAAAACTGTATAAGCTCAATATCACTGGGTGGTGTAAGGCATTTTTACATGAAGTTTTTACACTCCTTTCTCTTCAGGGACGAGCGCACAAAGTATTATAAAACATGTGAAAAAAGCAAGGGATAACCCAGAAAAGTACATGAGTATAATACTCGATGGCATGGATCAGAAAAAGACATCCATACCCCATTACACAGACAAAGTGAAGGTGAGTCTCAAAGTACATTTAATCATTTATAATCAGAGCTATTTCCTTAAATAGATGCATTTCCTGGTGATGGTTAATTTTCAGACTCAAAATAATGTCATGGTAGGGATGCATTTTTCTTATGTTCATACAAGTCCATTGTTCTTGTCAGGATGACAGTCCAAAGCCGATGGGGACACACATCACAGGTGCCATCTCACATGGGGTTTCAAAAATCTATGCAGCAATTGACATCCAGAACATCCCCCACGATTCGAACCTGACCATAACAGTGCTGATGAAGGTTCTCCAGGATGAGGCACAGGTAAATAGAGATAGACATTTCATGAAAGAAGTCATATCCATTTCTGGTATCGACAGGTCATTTTTGCAAGAACCTTAACCCTACCTAGACCGGGCTTTTTTTGACATGGGGGGACGG